CCCAGTACTTGCATAATTGGTGGAGTTTACCGAGAACAAACGTCATGCTTATTTGTTTCAGGTCATGATCCTAGCATAGGGCCCCGTCCCAATTCTGTCACTGAGGCTGTTGGCTTCTTTTCTTGCTTTCACATCTCCTACAGATTTGATAAACAAGCCATTTGTGCCTTTGTTCAAGTTATTAGTAAAAAGTCTTGAACAGAACGGGGCAGAGGATAAACCACTTTGCGCCATTCCCCTGACATCCTCCTTCATTTGGCCAGGCTCCATGAGCATTCAGGGGGTCTCAAGACTCAGCTGATGAACATCCTAAGACAGGGGTGAATGTTGGATTCAGATGCTGTACTTGAGGACCTCAAGGGCCACATGTGGCCTTGAGGCCGCAGATTCCCTACTCCTGTGAGACATTTTGGAGCTTGGCACTAAGAGTGTTAGGCAGGGAGTGAGACAGGTTTGCAGCTGGTGTAAATGTTAGGTGAGAACTTTAGGATCAGGGAGAATGTACAGCACCATTGAAGCTGCTTAGCATTGAAAGGGCTGTTCCAGAACCACACAGGTTATTCTCTACATAGGCTGTTTGGTTTTTCCATATAAATTTTGTTGGGAAAAATACAGAGTCACAGAACTCTTAAGAGTTGAGGAGGAGCACAGTGGAGATCCAGTCCAGGCTTCCACACTGCAGAACCCCCAGCAGACCAGTGATCTGCCGGCCTGCTCTTGAAAAAGAGCCAGGGGGCAGCTAGGTGGCATAGCGGATGGAGCACTGGCCCTGGATTCAGGAGGACCTGAGTTCAAATCCGGCCTCAGATACATAACACTTACTAGCCGTGTGACCCTGGGCAAGTCACTTAACCCCATTGCCTACTCAAAATCAAAACAAAACAAACAAACAGAAAAGAGTCAGCTGGCAAGAGGGGGAGGGCCAGGCCACCTTGGGGTGGGGCTGGTTGTCAGTAGTCTTCTTTGGCCACCATGTCCCAGTATTGACGTCCAAGCCCTTTTCAGAAAAGCTGCTGTCTCCACATGCTTCCTTCATCTTGGCCTTTTGAAATTGGTTTCTCAAAGCCTGCTGTTAAGCCCTAAATTCCCTCATTTTAGATTTAGCCAGCATGCTAATCTGTCAGGGTTTTGGGGGATCCTAACTCACCATCTAGCTTGTTGGCTGTCTCTCCTAGCTTCGGGTCATTGCTGCCTTTGAAATGTATGCTCTCCGCATGATTATCTGTCTGGGGAAAAAAACAAACAGGAAACCACGTTGGGACCAAACAGAGGTCCCAGGTGTGCTCCTCCGGGGACCTCCTTCCACGTGGAGGTGGAGACGGCAGCCGCTTGAGGCACGTTATCGCTTAGGTTGCCTCTCGTCCCCAGGAAGAACATGAGGCATCAGACCCTGGGCTCAGTCCGGACACGCCCGTGTACCTGGGGGATGGCCTGATTGCACGCACCAGTTACGCGGTCCTGTCCAGAAGGACACACGGTTGGCCTGCCGACCGATTCTGGGTGCAGCTCCAAGCTCTGTGAGCGCACCCTAGACGGTCACTTACCGTTACTTGAACGTTTGTTCCAGAATGATTTTGGCAGTCAATGTCCCAGTCACCGTTGACCTGTAATTTTTAGATTGTGTTGTCTTTCCTTCTGTGAAAACCACTGCCCTCTTGTCAGTCCCAAGGCACTTTGTCTGTCCAGTCCTCCTGACCCTGGCACATCAGTCACATCCACTCGTTCTTTCAGCAGCTAAGGGTGGAGGTTAGTTGAATCCATCAAGGGTAGCCAGTTAGGGGCTGTCTTGGGTATCAACGCCCTAGGCGATGTCTTTGGTGTTTTATTTCTGGTGCGAAGGCCATTCTCTGTGGCCTGAAAATGGAGAAGCAAAATGAGAATTCCGGATCTCTGTGTTCTCTTGGTTGTTGGCTGGTATTGCCCCTTCTACCCCGAGCAGCGGGCCTAGCCTTTCGTTGGTTCTTTCTTTTCCTCCTGTACCTGCCCTCTCCCACCCCTCCCCTCCTATTGTCCTTCGCTTTCCTTGCCAGCCTTAGCTCGTGGTGACCTTTGGTACTCTTGCCATCCTTTTTAAACAGGACCGTGCTATGCTTTTTTCTTTGTCCTCCCTTGCCTGCCCTCGCTTCCACCTTGTGCATACCTTTTAAAAACCCCTCTTAGGTGAGCTCTCTGTGCATCTACGTGGGGCCTTTCAGGTGATGGAATGACATTCTTCAGTGTCCCATCCTGCTGGGCTGATGTCCTCTGTGGACTTTGAGTCCGTGGGATGGGACGTCTCCTCCCTCTGACCTCTGGAATCTCTTCTCCAAAGTCCAGGGAGATGCTGGATGATCCCCAGCCTTTGTCTCCTGTTACAGACTCAGTGGGAGTGCTCCCTTCTTTTCCTTCTCCTCTTCCCAGGCTTCCCATCAGCTTTCCCTAGCAAGTCCCTCATTAAATGGGCACACCAGCAGGTGAGGGTCAGAATGCCATCTGCAGGAGACAGCTTATCAAGCATTTAAAATGACAGACACACGGAAATGTAAAGTAAGCATTTTATAGTGAGGTCCACAAAGCAGTAACCAACAGATGCTGAAAATAGGGAATCCCAGATCTTTCTGGGGCACAGCATTTCTGCTCCCGTTGATCAGTTTTTCCAGGTAAAGTAGAGAATCTTCCCTCCTCAGCGTGCTCTTTTCTTTCCGTTGCTGACTGCTCTTTCGTCCTTTAGCTCCACTGTAAGTGTGCGGTCTCTTTGACCATAAGTGGGCATGGAATGTATAAACATTTTTGTGACCAGCAGTCTCAAGAGCAGGGAATGCTTTGATGTTCGTCTGACTTTGGGCCGGAGGCTCCTTGACTTGAGAGCTCCCTTGGTGATTTTATAGAGACCTGCCTCATCCCCACAGGCTCCAGAAAGCCTCGGGACCTTGCCGGCGGCTTAATGGAAATCTCGCCGTATCTGGCGAAATCAGAAATAACTCTGTCTTTGGTTCAGATGATTGGAAAACTAATTGCTGTTTGTTATTCTATGACTAGAATTGAAGAAACTCTAAAAAAGTGACGCACTGGCAAGGTCCGCTTGCTGGATTTTTGTGTTTTTTCTCTCCCATTTCTTTTTTTAAGTGACAGTAAAGGCAGAGCTCTGGACTGCAAGTCAAGAAGCCCTGGGTTCAGACCATGCCTCAGACTTAGCCTTGCAGGGCCTCAGTTTCCTCTGCTGTGAAATACCACGGGGCTGGTCTGGGGCCTCTGAAGTTCTTAGATCCAGACAGTGAGGCGGCACAGGGGGAGCCCTGGCTTGGGAATCTGGAGGTCGCTTTCCAATCCCCGCCCTGCTTCTTTGTTCCTCTGGGATCGTGGGCAAGGGCTTTGACCTCTGGACTTCAGTCACCCCATCTGTGAAATGAAAGGGTTTCACCATACGATCTCTAATCCTACAGTCCATCAGTTCCACTAATTGCGAGCCTAACTGTATTTATTTACTCTCTATGTTACCCTTTTTTTTTCTTTAGAAACTAGGTCTCTCTGTCTTGTCCAGACCGGAAGTGTGGGGGCCACTCATGAACCGATCCCACAAGGCATGGGAGCGTTGACCTCCTCTGTTTCTGGCTTGGGCTGGTTCGTGCCTCCTTAGGCAATCTAGTGGCTGACCCCTCACTCCTGGGGGTGCACCATATCGAAGCTGATTTTAGTGCTGCCGTCCAGTGGGCAGAACCTGCTGTAGCCTCAGACTCTTGAGATTAAGTGGTCCCCCAGCCTGAGCCTCCTGGCAGCTGGGGCTCTGGGCCCCCAAGCCCAGCCCTCCATGTTATCCTTAACAGTGCGGTAGGAGGCTTGATCAGATGCCTTCCTGAAATGCAGGCGGACCGACCCATCCACATTCCGCAGCTTGGCCAGGCTGTTCCCCTGTCTGCAGGGGGCAGGGGTCGGTCTAGTGTGGCTTGATAGTGTGCATTGGCGTTTGCTGTTTTGAAAATATTCTCTCATTTCTTGCCTGTTTGAGGAAAGCTGTGAGTGGGAGAATGGGAGGCTGTCAGCAGGGAGCAGGAGAGGAAGCAATCTGTCCCAAGTCTGCAGCACAGCTGCTGGCACAGAGCTTGGTGGGGTCAGCCCAAAGCCAGGAGGAACACTGGGAAGTTGCCCTTTGTCCAGGGAGCTCATGTTTTAGGAGTAATTTTTTTTTTTTTGGCTAGGCAATGGGGTTAAGTGCTTGCCCTGGGTCACACAGCTAGTACGTGTCAAGTGTCTGAGACCGGATTTGAACTCGGGTCCTCCTGACTCCAGGGCCAGTGCTCTTTCCACTGCGCCACCTAGCTGCCCCTGAGAGTAATTTTTAAAAGGATATTTTTTCTCCTAAGTGGGATCTGTAAATCCTAAAATGCCCTCTCCTTGTGAGTTCTTATTATCACAGCCTTTCTTCTTACAGAAATGTGTGGCCTTGTCACCCCAGCAGTCAGTGAGAGCAAGACCTGTCCCTGATCAGCGGGGCGTGTACCCCTAGCCTTTAGCATGACGTCTTCTTGTGCATTTTACTGACTCATCTGCTCCCTGTGGCCCTCTGAGTGACCGCTGGGAAGTCGCTGTGTTCTAATATGTCAAACGAGGAGGTCGAGCCCGATGGTCTGGGAGGTCCCTTCTGGAGCAAGGTTCCTTGGTGTTCTCGCCGTCCTCATATTCAGTGAATGGATTGACTGGATATTTAATTAAGTTGAACAGGATAATTTTCCACAGCGTCACAGAGTTAGAGACAAAAGGGGCCTCAGTCAAGCTTCCCTGGCATAATCATTCCCGTCCCCTCCTCCTGCCCCTTTAATAGCTGAGTAAACTGAGACCCAGAGAGAAGTGAGATCGTCACGGACACTTAGCCAGGAGGCAGGAGATCCTGGAATCAAATGGAAAGACTTTGCTCTACCGTGGGAAAGACTTTGCTCTACCGTGTTCCGGGAGGGAGGTGGGCAGGGTCGTGCGTGTTCCTACCTCCAACCTTTCTCTCTCCTGTTTTCTTCTTTCCCTTCCAGGTGAATGGAGGCATTGAGACCACTCTGGAGAAGGAGGTGGTGCAGTATGACTACTATTCTTCTTACTTTGACATATTCGTGAGTACTTCCCGCGTCCCCAGGGCTGCTGCCATCAGGAGGCTCCGATCTTTCCCGCTGACACGTCTGGGCACGTCTGGGCCTGTTCCTTCCTTTCTGCCCTTCGCCCTGGGGGAAAGAGTTCTTCTCTTTCTTGAAACACGGAGGCGCCTCCGTGCTGCCCCCTGTCCTCCGTGCTTTGCTCTTTGCGTGAGCGGCAGTCTTCTTTGATCCATTACTGCTCATGCATTAAACCAGCTAGAAAGCTGGTGGAGGGAATGTTTGTCTACAGGCCACTCTCACCATGTCTCTTTAGGGGAATAAGCCTTTATGGGGCACTTATTATTTGCCAGGCACCGTGCAGGTATTATCTTGTTTGATCCTCACCACAGGCCTTTGTGGTAGGTGAGGAGATTGAGGCAAACAGGAGTGAAGTGACTTGCCCAGGGTCACACAGCTAGTTAGTATCCAAGGCTGGATTTGAACTCGGTCTTCCTGACTCCAGGCCTGGCATTCTATGCACTGCACCACCGAGCTGCCCCGTCTTAATATCTCATATCTAGGCATTAATTTTCAGAGCCCCGTGTTCTCGGCTTTGGAGCTAGCGCCTCTCTGGCCATCCTTTGTTTCTGGTGATGCTACTGGGTTAGGGAGAGCATGGGTAATTAGAAATCCCAGCTGCTTCTCATTCCCTGTATTTCTTGTCCTTTTGATTCAAAACATCTGTCAGCTACCCTCATCTTCCATGCTAACCCTTGATGAAATGACGAGAAGACAGAAAATCAAAAGGAGAAACAACTTTAGTTCAACAACTGTGTTCAATGCCTACTGTGCGCCGTCAGATGGAAGAGTAGACAATGGGAAATTGGGACACCTTGGTTTCTATACTGGGCCTGCTCCAGTGCTGTGACCTTGGACAAGTCCCTTCCCTTCTGTGGGCCTCTCAGAGTAAAATGAGGATGTGGATGAATTGAGCTTTGTGGTTTCCATCCAGCTCTAAAATCCCGTGACCCTAAGGAGCAAAATTCCCTCGATGAAGGCCCGGCCAATAGGACTGCTCTCTCTCAGGCTTGGTTAAAGCACCGTGGCAGTCCACAGACTATGTCCCAGACTCTGGGCAGCTTGTCCTGGCTGCTTGCAGGAGCTTAGAGGGCACCACGTGCCAGAGGCCTGCAGAGGGCTAGGAAGATAAACACAGAAAGGCAGAGAGAAGGGCAGTCCTTGCCTGCAGGGAGCTGACACCCTAGCGGGCTGAGACAGTGCAGAAAAGGAAGCCAACAGGGTACAGGGAAGGGAGAGATGAAGGCACTGGCGGGCGAGGGCTCATGGTGGAGAGAGTCCAGCAGGGTCGGGAGTGCCGCCGGCAGAGGAACAAAGACATGGCCGTCCTGGGCCTGCTCCTTAAAATGGAGGCTCTTGGAGGGAGAGGTTTCAGGGTCCTGGGGTCTGGCCAGAGATGGTCTGAAACACATAGGTGGCTACAGAAGGGTGAGGGACAAGCTGGGAGAAGCCTGAGACCCGGGAGAAGGAGGGGATGACAGGACAGGGGATTGTGGGCCCCAAGGAGCCTTAGCATTCTCTTGGCTAAGGCCCCCATTTTACAAAGGTCAATGACTTGCCCAGGGTCACACATTTTACAGAGACTAGACTTGAACCTATGTTTTCTGGGTGCTAAGGGAGCAAAGATATTGTCATCTTTCAGACAAACTCAAGATTGCAGAATCATTTCAGTGTGGGAAACACTGTTGATTTAGCACTCACTTGGCAGACATGGATGAGCAAGGACGTTCTGGAAGAGTGGAAGAAAAGGAGTGAACGAATTCCCAGAAGTGAAACATTTTATGAAGAGGTCGTGAGGAGATGAGAACTGGACGGGTACCCGGATGTCAGCTGGACACTGGGCGGTCTCGAGGGGGCGCTCCTAGAGGCAGGGCATGCACCAAGAGGCTAACCTTGTTTGTGAAGTGGAGGATGTTGGTAGTGCAGTAACCACCAGTGCGGGTGGTTAGGAACCTTCACTCTGCTCTCACCTGCTGCCGGTGTTATTCTGCTGCCATTGGCTCAGGTGAAATGGAGATTTCAGAGGACGTGGGGGGAGAAAAAGAAGACTGACGTCAGGAAACTGCAAGCAAACTGTGGCTGCCCAAACTTCCCCTCCCAGTGAGCAGAGACGAGAGAACCTGGCTTCGTGCCGCAGAAAAAGCCTTTTAAAAACTCTTCCTTTCCCGTGTGAACTTCAAAAATACAAACACTGCTTGCAGAGTTGGGAAAGAATCAGCCATTTACCTCTGTGTACCTCTGAAAGATAAGCATGTGAATGTATCCAGGTTCATTTCCTTCTCTGGGCCTCAGTTTTCTCATCTATAAAAAGAGTGTTGGCCGAGGTACTGGCCGAGGGCCTTTTCAGATCTGTTTGTGAGCCTCCCTGGAGGTCCATTTCTTCTCTTCAGTGTAGAATAATGCATTTTCTAGCCATGGGCATTTCCATTAAGGTGAAGGGAGGGAAATCATTGATTCATAGATATTTGTTGTTGTTTGGTCATTTCAGTCGTATCTGACTCTTTGTGACCCCATGTGGGATTTTCTTGGCAAAGACACTGCAGTGGTTTGCCATTGCCTTCTCCAGCTCATTTTGCAGATGAGGAAACTGAGGCAAACCTGGTGAAGCGACTTGCCCAGGGTCACACAGCTAGTAAGTGTCTGAGGCCAGATTTGAACTCAGGAAGATGAGTCTACCTGACTTGAGGCCCAGCCACTCTATCCACTGCATTGTCTAGCTGCCCCACAATTATTCATAAGTATTGAATACAACTAAAATCATTCCAAATCCAAATTAGACACAGTAGATCAGGGACGCCAAGCCACTGGGGCTGCTCACACACGTGTGCTGTTTTCTTTTTGTCAGGAAGAGGGGGAAGGGAGTGGAGAGTTGGAATGTGTGTGTCAAGTTCAGCATGCAGTCAGAGACCAACCTGAAGGCACTTGGCTGCCTGCTTTGGCGCCCGCAGAGGCGCGGCTTTGGCTTATCCGTGTGCTGCTGGGGCTGCCCACACCTGAGCCGGGGCTGGGAGGTCCCTGGATTTTCTTGCTGACCACTGTCCTTGGCTTTGCTTTCCCTCCTCCCCATCCATCCTCCCATTTCTTGGGAGAGGCGGACGTCTCGCCAAGGTGAGGACGTAGACAGCTGGCCTAACCCCATTCCTGCCTGTGTGAGTTCCAGAAGTTTGGGTCTGCACCTGAAATGAAGGGACATTCCAGAGGCTCTTCTCCTCCTGTCTCCTGAAAGGGGATGGAGGCTGTGTGTGGAGGACCTTCTAATCCTGTGTTCCCTTTAAGGCCGAGCAGGTCTGCGAGAGGCGGCCTTGGCAGCCCTGGGGGTTGGTTTTTTCCTACCTCGCCTCTGCTCCCTCCTGCAGGCCTGGGCCTTCCCTTTGTCCCAGACTGTTTGACTGTCAGGCCCATTGTATAGGGCTGTCTTTTCTTTCTTTTTGGCCCAGGCCTTTGGTCTCCTATGTCCCTTCACACGTCAGGTCAGGCTTTGTCCGGCTCCGCGTGACAGGCAGGCTAGCCAGGTGCTGACCGGGGAGCCGGGAGGACCTGGCTTTGAGTCTCTCCTCTGACACTCCCTGTCTGTGTGGCCAGGGACAAGTCACGTCACCACTCACTGCCTCAGTTTCCTCGTTAGAAAAAGAAAGGGATTGGCCTAGCTGGTCTCTAAGATTCCTCGTCGCTCTAGAATTAGGAGCCGTAGCCCTGGTTATTGGCCTTCGAATACATCCTAGGCACTGGGTTTTGACCCTTAAAATGAGGAGATGCTTTTTCTTCCCTCTTTTTTGAAACAGCTCCTGGCCGTTTTTCGATTTAAAGTGTTAATCCTCGCATATGCCGTGTGCAGGCTGCGCCACTGGTGGGCGGTAGCGGTGAGTATTCCCCCCCCCCTCCCCAGCCCTGACAGTGATGAGTGAGCCTGGCTGGGCGTTGAGACCCCTGGAATTTCCTCTTCCCCACTCAGGTCTCTTGTTTGAGGTGACGGAGGCCCAGGTTGGCTTTCGATAGAACGCTGGCATCCATGTGCCAACCCCCTGTTTGCAGGCACTCCAGGGTGCTTTAGGCCTCCAGGGGCTTCCTTCACCTGTTAATGAGAAAATACTTGGATTTGTCCTGGGGATTGCAAGGCCAAACAGGTCACTGAGAAGGAGACACTCCCTCCCCAACCTCATGCTGCACGCACCTGACGGGACCCAGGGACGAAATCTCTGTGCCATGAGATTGTTCTGTTAGTGAAGCACATGGGGACCCCGGGGTTAGAGCTGCTTCGACTGCCAGCCAGTTACCTAAATCCAGAGGTGAGGGAAGTGAGGAAAAATGAGAGGAGGAATTGAAGGCTTGGATCTGGTGAACACACCGCCTCTTGGAGCAGCGGCTTTATGTGTAATAAAAACAGAAGAAAAGGGGGAATCTCGAATTTACGAAAGGGAAAACAAATTAGCTCTGGGCCTTTGGGCAGGTAACCACCCTGGACCTCAGTTTCTCTTCTATAAAAGGAGATGCCCTGGTCCTTTCTGAGTCTTCAGCACAGTTCTGGGCACTCAGTCAGCGCTATATAAATATTTGCTGTCATAATCATTAACATTCTTCTGTGACATCTTCCCAGCTTTCTTTTATCTTTCATTTATTTCTTGGTGTATTTCTGAGGCTCTCTTGAGGCTAGGCTTATCCCAATTGGTGTCTCATTCGGGTGGGGAATAAACTGCGATGAGGCCCTGGCCTTCAGTGCTCCTGGACCCAGCCGTGGATAGCTCTGTACCTTCTGCTGTTCATGCTGGCCCAGCCAGGAGGAAGTGTAACACCCGTAGGCAGGGATTTTCCTGGCCGTGAATGGGAGTGATGCTGTCACTCTTCTGGGAAAACCCTGGGTGTCTGTGGTCACGTCTTCCTACACAGCGCTGCTTTGGGGGGTGGGTTTGGGCTCATCCAGGGCGTGGATCTCTGAGGGTGTCATTGACAGGCACGGAGCAGGAGATCTCCTCTCCTAAACACCTGGTCCTCTTTGGGCCCTCGCTATGTCTGTCTCTTGGCTTTCAGGTTACGGCCTTCTGTCTTGTGAGATCCTCTCATTCTGGTGTTACGTGCACACACTCATGCCTGGGATCCTGTCCTCCCCATCTCTCCCTCCTGCCTTCCCCGGCTTCCTTCAGATCCCAGCCAACATTTCACCTTCTTTCCCCTGAGCCTGACCCCGGCCCATCCTGTCTGCAGCTTCTCTGCCCTTAGCATGTAAATACTGTTGACTTAACGTGACCAGCCGTCCCTAGCAGATGGTACGTGATAGCAGCTCAGGTCTGTGTGGGCTCATGAGCTTTCAGACTAGCAGAATGCTTTACAGCTGTTGTCTCATTTGGTCCTCACAACAACCCTGTAAGGTGGTCACATGCTCTTATCATCCCATTTTACAGATGATAAAATGAAGGCTCAGAATCCTTCCCTGGACACTTGGTAGAGGTAGCCGTGGGCAAGTCATATCACCTCTAACCCAGATTCCTGAGTCCAGGCCCAGCTCTCTGGTATTCATTCAACAAACACTTATTCAGTGACTGTTACAAACAAGGAATTGTATGTACAGAAATAGTTATGATCAAGGCCTTGCTCTCAGAGAGCTTTTAATCTCTTATGAGGATTTGAGGACAAGGACAAAGGTTGGGAGGGCAGGGGCCCAGGCAGACTGCTGTGGCCGTGGCAGGGAGGAAGAAGGCAAAATTGCCTTCCCTGGGGCTGGAGAACATGGTGTCGAGAAATATGCCATTGGAGCTAGCAGCCCCCTTCCCACGTGCCCAACAGGCACCTGCAGTGGCATCTGGAGTCCTGGCACAGATCCAGCCTCTGGGCCAAGTTAGGGGAGCTGACCCACAGTGAGGGCCTTTGGAGGACTTTACAAGGGTTCTGTCCCTTGCTCACAACAACTTTGGGAAGCAAGGGGCCCTCGCTGCCCCCACTTTACAGATGAGAGAATTGAGGCTTGGGTGAGTGACTTGCCTATGGTCACAGGCCTAGCCAGTATCTGAGGCAGGATTTGAACTTGGGTCTTCTGGAATCCAAGTTGGGCACTTGGTCCCCTCTGCCGTCGGTGACCACCAGCTACCCTTCCTGCTTCAGTCTAGGATCCTGTGGTCCTGACCCTCAGTAAGTGACTTTACCTCCCTGGTCATCAGTTTCCCCAGCTGTAAAAGAAGAGGATTGGTTTAGGGGATCTCTATAATGTCATCCATCTGAATTCTTTGGTTTGATAGAGAAATGGAGAGATCAAGCATTTATTAAGCCCTTACTATATGCTGGGGATTCAAATACAAGAAAACAAGATGGTCTCTTTTCTTATTCTAGTGGAGAGACTCAAGAAAGCCGGGGGGTGAGGGTGGGGGGGTGGGTTGCATCTCCAGGTGAGCAGGGCCTGGGAGGGGTGGCGCTATCCAGAGAGTGGCCAACACTCAGGGCAGTGGCTGTCCTCGTGGGTGGAGCTGCTCACTCCCTGTTCAGAGTAAGTCACGTGAATAAGGGACGCTCTGACGGGCCTTCACCCACCTTTGCCGTCTTCAAGGATGAGAGCAGAGGGGTCAGGCCCTGCCCCGGGCTGGCTCTGCGTCCTGCTCTCCTCCCTCCTCTGACGCCCTGGGTGGTGGGAGGGTCGGATTTTGTGTCTGGGGACCCAGAGATCACCCTGGACACAATCAGGGCGTCACTTCCCAGCACACAGGCCCAGGGGGTTGCGGCCTGGCCCAGGGGCCCCGAGGGGGCCTCTCTCCCCTCTCTGTGGAGCTGGAGCGGCCGTGGTGGGCATCTCCCCTCTTGCAGAACTTGGGCCTGTGACAAGACTGTTATCGGAACTCGTGACTTCAGGCGTTTGCCCTGAACTCGACTCTTTGTCTTTCAGTTGACGACAGCTGTGACGAGTGCCTTCTTATTAGTCAAAGTCATCCTGTCCAAGGTAAGAGCCCCCCAACTCTCCCCAGGCTTATCTCCCTGGAGGCGTCTCCCCGGAGGCTCCAGCGGCCCATGGCCAAAGGTTGACCCTGCCCCCTCCCCCTCTGTTTTTCAGCTCTTTTCTCAGGGGGCTTTTGGATATGTGCTGCCCATCATTTCATTCATCCTGGCGTGGATCGAAACCTGGTTCCTGGATTTCAAAGTATTGCCTCAAGAAGCAGAGGAAGACAGCAGTAAGCTCACCTTTCACCGTTCTAGGGATCGGTCTGTGTGGGGGAGGGCCCCGCTGCTGCCCGAGCCCAGGAAGGGGCCTGGGAGGCTGCTGGGGGGTGGGCCACATCTGCTTTGCAGGAACTTGGGCTCACATTCATTAGTTCATTCAGTCATTCTGGGCCTTGAGAGTGCAGAGCCCTCTGCCAAGTGCTCGAGGATGTGCCAAGATCAATGAAACATGGCCTCAGCTTTCTCAGAGCTTGTTGCACAATAGGAATGATAGGACATGCGTCCATATGTATGTAATGTAGTAGACGTTATAGAAATGAATTTATAATATTTGTTATGTGATAGATCATTTATTAATAACGAAGGCACCAATTTAATCAATTAGATATTGAATAATGTAAAAATAAACTGCAAACAGTAAGTAACATAAGAAAATAAATTAATTTTGATTTAACTTAATAGATTTATAGTAAAAAATGATATTAAAATATAATTTTAATGAAATCTAGGGTTGGGGGGTTTTGATGTTACACACACACACACACACAAAAGAATATAAGAACTGCATAGGAGAAGTGTAAGATAGGACTTGCTCTGGAATCAGACAGGAGCCTGCTTCAGGTCACAGGTACTCAATGAGTATTGGCCTGGTGCAAGGCTCATGTCGTGTGAAGGGCAGGGGACCAGAATGAATAAGAGCAGGCTAATGGGGGGATACGATATGCCCCTCCTCCCAAAATAAGGAAGATACAGAATGGGATGAGGACACAGCAGAGATTGTTTCCAGCTGGGAGTGAGGAGACGGTTGGTGGAGGAGGCACTTTAACAGGGCCCTGATGAAAGAGAAGGATTTTCCAGGGCTGAGAGGAGGCCAGAGTGTTTTTGGTGGATTGTATATAAGGGGTTGGAATGGAGTGCTGGACTCTGACTTACCAGATGACCTTGGGTAAGTCACTTAACCTCTGCCTGCCTCATATTTGTCATCTGCAAAATGGGGCCAATATGAGCACCTCACTTCCAGGGTTTAGGTAAGGACCTTAAAACGTTACATCGATGCTAGGTGCTTATCTATTAGGTGGGGTAGGGTGAGCACGCTGAAGATCCAGATGTGCGCTGTGGCTGGAGCTTAGGTTGGGAGAGACGTCTTAGGAGATAGGCTGGAAAGATAAGTTGGAACCCCGTCGTAGAAAGCCCTGAACGCCGGGCCAGAGAGGGTGTGTTTAGCCCAAGAGGCAGTGAGGAGTTTTGAGCAGGGGGTCACAGGGGCAGGGCAGCTCTTTGGAGGCTGGGGGGGGGGGGGGAGGACAGGAAGGCCTGGCATGGAGGAGTGGCCCCGTGAGGGGAGGGAATGGATTCAAAGACGTTGTGGAGAGAAAATCAGCGAGACTTTGGCGACTGACTGGATGTTAGGCGAGGGAGGAGGCAACGGTGACTGGGTCCTTCGAGCCCAGTGAGCAGCGTGATGGCGCCATCGATGGAGTTTGGGCTGAGAGGAGAAGGTGTGGAAGGAGAGGCGCTATGTCCCCTCCGAGCTGCCCACAGGACGTCTGGGGAGGCGGACAGACAGACAGAAGCGGAGGCTGGGGAGAGACCACGGGCGCAGAGGCATTGTCTCATCTGCTGCCATCTACACTTTTATCCTTCAGGCTTGTGTTTCCTTCCATTTGTGTCTGATCTTGTTTTTGTTTTTCTGAATCAGGACTTTCTGTCTCCTGGTTCCTCCTTGGCTCTAAAGGCAGGACTTCATTTCTTCAGTTCCTTTTGCTTCATCTCCTTTACAGGGCTTCTTCCCACGAGCCCCTGCCCTTCCCCCCTTCCCCAGTTCTGCTTAACTGTCCATTGCCTCTTGTCCGGCTCTCCACTTCCTCCCTGCTTTTTCTCTCAGCTCAGTAGCCAATTAAAAGCCCCCTTCCTCTTCTCCCTTTCTGCTTGTCCTGTGGTTTGCTAAAGTTCTCTGCTCCTTTTTCTAAAGAGGATTTCTTTTTTTCTTCTTCCCTTTCTGTCTTTTCTAGACTTTTATTTATGGCCCTGAGCTTTATGTGCAACCTCCTTCAGTCTCTGTGTTCCCCAAGGAATTAAAGCTCTAAGGTACTTGTTTGGAGCTCCCTCTTTGTTCTTTCTTTGCGGATCTTGCCCCTTCCCCCTTTTTCTCTCTTGTGCCTCTTAGAGATGTCAGTTCCTAGAGGAGATAAAGAGGATAAAAGCATTTTCTGCCCCCTGATACAAATGTTTACGGTTGCTCGATTGTGCCATTCATCTCTACTGCCTGCCCTCAGTGGTCGTGTTTTCTCATTTGCCATGAAATCTCTCTGGGTCCACGCACTCCCACCCTTCTGGACCTCAGTTGCCCCCAGGAGCTCTGGTGCCTCTTCTGAGGCGGAGGCTGTCCATGGAGGCACCAGTCTCTCAGAGGTGGTGGTGTCTCTAGGCCCCGAATCCCTGCAGATGGGGCCCATGAGGTCCCTTTTCTCCTCTTCTAGGACCCTGTCTCCCATCCTGGAACATCTCTCAGCCCAGATGGGTAGCAGTCTTCAGTGGGCTCCCCTTCCACCAGTGAAGAGATTTCCGTCTTTCTTTCCTCTCATCCATTCTTTTGTGGGGAGATTACGGAAGTTATTTGAGAGTTATTTTCCCCTTCATTGTTTATCATTGCCTTGATGAGGGCACATCACACCCTCCCCTCCACCTTCTTCCTCCCTTTTCTCCCATTCCACGGTTTAGTTACACTCCTGGAGCAACGTGGCAGCAGATTTAGTCCCAGGAGTTTCAGTCCCCTTCTTCCATTTTTGTCCTTCTGTTACCTTTATCTCCTTGGCTACTTTTATCTATCTATCTATCTATCTATCTATCTATCTATTCATATCTATTCATTTATTTATTTATCTGTTAATTCATTTATTTATTTAAATTTTTTTGGTTTTTTTTTTAAAGGCAATTGGGGTTAAGTGACTTGCCTAGGGTCACACAGCTAGTAAGTGTCAAGTGTTTGTTCTGAGACCGGATTTGAACTCAGGTCCTCCTGACTGCAGGGCCGGTGCTCTATCCACTGCACCACCTACCTGCCCGCTCCTTGGCTACTTTTTTAAAAAGGCTCTTTATTTTTCCTCTGTTGTTATTTTGTTGTTATTGTTTTTAACCTTATAGATGTTTTTTATTTTTATAGTTTTTTCCTCCCTTTTTTTCTGGGGCAATTTATTTTATTACTCACAATTTCTTTGGTTGGTGTATTTGGTTGCCTTTTTGCTTGGGTAGGGTGTTTGGAAATATTGGAAATATCTGCTCGTGTCTGGTGTTCTCTCTAGAAAAACTTCAGCTCCTCTCCTCTGATGCCACTTTGTCTCTGATGATTGTCTCTGATGCGAGGAGTGTTGTGTTGGCATGCATCTTGAGCTCCTGGTCTTCAGAACACATACTGTTCCTTTCTGTGGTTTCTGGTAGATCCAGAGTCATCTAGTATTGTTCAGGTTGCCTTTCCTTCATACCTGAAAGTCTGTCCTTTCTCCTGGTGGTTGTGAAGTTTATTGTTTGTCATTGAAGTTGTTCATTTTAACTACTCTGTGTCTTGGGGTGGGCAGCATAGGTTTGCCTCCCCCCACAGGCCCTCCCCTTGCCATGGGATCCATCGATCTTTCAGAATTACTGAGCGGAATGCTGGTGTTGTTTCTTGTATTATGATGCTGAGGTGTTTGTCTTCTTCTCGAGACCTAGAGACCTCACCTTGTCCCTGTGCAGACTTCTCCATCAAGATTCTCTGGTCCCCTCTCGCTGCTCGAGCCTCCCCACAAAATTATCTTGTGCCTCTTTGTATGTTTTCTCTCTACCTGGCCAGGTAGTAAGCTCCCTGAGGGCAGGGCCCCGTCCACATTTCTCTTTGTATCCCCAGCCCCCAGGATATGGCAGGTGCTTAATAAATGCCAGTTGGAGATTGATGATGAATCAGAGAGAATAAAGTAAAATCAGTTTTGGGGTAAGATGCAGTAGAAAGGGCAACTCTGGAGGAAAGTGAATGTTACTCCCGATCCTTCTGAGAAAGAGACCTCTCTTTCTGTAGCCCATGACCCCCGATGCCAGCAAGACCAAATTCATAATAACTGCTCAGAAGGGTGCACTGGTCACACCCAACATTCCCTTTCCCCGGCCTGTTGGCCCTGGAACTGGAGCCTGGCCCGTTGGGCTCCCAGGCCGTATTCTGCCCTTCTCTGGCATCTCAGTGCTGTTAGCGGCCATTGGGGGCCTGGTGTCTTTAGAATGGCCCGCAGGTGGCCTAGCTCCTGTGTCTGGGCTCCTTTTCTGTATGACCCAAGATCTGGGTCATACAGAAAAGGAGCCCAGTCTATAGGGAAGGGGCCTGAGTCCGACTGACACAAGAACGGCACCTTTCAGAACTTAGAGGAGGGGATCACAAGGTCATGAGATTCCTCGTGCCTGAGGCCTGGCGTGTATCAAAGAGTCACGAGTCACATCCCAGCTACCGTTCTTTGACCCCTTGGCCTTGTGGCTGTCTTTGCAGGTCATGGCTTTGAGTGGAAGCCCAAGGGATTCCTGGAACCAAAGATCAGATGTTGGACTGTTGTAAACTTTAGACGTCCTTTTACCTGTTCACTCATGCCCTGTCCACTTAGGACACTTATTAGTCCGAAACTAGCAAGTCCCAGGCAGCAGCAAGGTGTGCCATTTCTACCTTTCTGATATCGTTTGGTCCCCTCTTGTGTCAACTCTCATTAAGTGCTTAGGAAGTGTCTAGGACCTGCAAACACTGTGCCCAAGGCCTAGCCATATAAGGCATACAGGCACTAATTATTAGAAGCACATCTTGGATTTGCATATTCTCTGATCCAGCCCAGAGTTAAATGTTACTATAACATATGGAAGAAATGGGAGGGAGGATTTCTAGGGAAGTCTTTGCATGCAGCTTTGTTTCTCTGTACCCATTTTCAGGGAATTTTAAAATAAGAGAATGGAATTAAAATATAAGGAAAGACTTAGCATATAAGTGAGTCCACTGGAAAAGAAGCCACGTGTCCGGCACGCCTCCCTCTTTGGCTGTTCTATCGTTTCAGTCCATGAGTCATTCCGGACACACCCCAGCAGTTTGTTTTCAGCCAGTCGGATGAGGGAGATGCCAGGAGGAACAAGGCTGTGGCCTGAGAGTCAGAAAAACAGATAATTTAGAGTGCTTTGCATGCCCCGGACATCAGAGCACACAGCTGACTAGATGAGGATGGGCCGTCAGCAGAGGGAGATTAGCCTGGCACTTAGTGATGCCCTCCTTGGTGCCAGGGGTGTTTCCAGGGCTCCCAAAGAGGCGGAGCATCACCATGAGCTCCAGGCAGATGCTGTCATTACTTTGATGGTGCTGTCGAGGTATCAGGTGTGGCTGGTTCAAATGCCTTCTCTTTCAAGGGATGCTGTGTGTCTTTCATCTGCTGCTACAAGCCATTTGTTTGTTGAAGGGAACAGGATGTTGTCAAAGTCCAGTGGGAACCCGGTACCCCGTGGCCCTACAGGCCAGCTGTGTCCTCTGTTGGGGTTGGGGGCTGGGAAGAGGGGCATTGCCGGTCGTGGCCTTCCAGAGCTGTCCACAGTCACCCCCTTCACTGCCACACGCGTGGTCGACAAGCATTTTTAAGTGGCGGGCCCTCTGTCCCACTGTGGCAGACTGACGCCTGGGCTCTCCATCCCTTCTCTTCCAGGACTTCTGCTGGTTCAGAACGCTTCGGAGAGGGCAGCCCTCATCCAGCCGCCTGGGGGTCTCTCGGATGGGCAGTTTTATTCCCCGCCTGAGTCTGAAGCAGGTAAAAGGTGTTTGGCGTGCCTTTCGCTCCCCTCCTGTAGTGGAAAGCCCCCTGGCTTGGGCCTTATGCCTGCCTGCTGCTGTTCTGTGGCCCCCAGAGGAAGTGAGGAGTGGGGTCTGCACCCACACAGAGTCTCGGTGCTTCTGCTGGGCCCGATCCCAGAGTTCCAGGGCACTGCCCCAGAAGGGAGAAACGGTAGGATTCAGCTTGGCCTTGGGGAGCCCTCGGGCTGGCTCCGCTTTGCTCATGGTGCCACCTGGTGGAGCTGGGGAGCATCCATGGCACTGTAGCCCGGCAGCCCGGCGGGGTGTGGGGAAGGAGGAGGATGGCTAGGCCGGGTACGTCCCGCATTTCTTTGGCCTCGTCACCTCTTGAGTTTCCAGTCCAGGAAACACATTGGAATGTAAATGTTCCCCAGAATCAAAAGGAATTAGATGGTCTCCTTTGCACACCCAGAAAGGTTGTAGCGTATGTGTGTGTGTATGTGTGTGTACACACACATACACACACTACATATACGTATGTACACACGTATATATAATACACACATATATACACACATATATAATCCACATACACATATATACATCCACACACACATATATACATATACACACACATATACACACATATACACCTGAGGTGCCCTCCCCTGTCCCCCAAGGTTCTGATTCAAGACAGTCATGGGGAAGTGAAACAGCCCCAAGCCCAGGAGGTGACGCTGTTAGAAAAAAACTGTATTTTTCACAAAGCTGCAGATTCCTTTCTGACGCCTCTGTGTGATGTGGAGAGACTCACAGCTTGTGACCTTTGGTGGTGGAGGGAGCAACCTTAACTGACGTGAGCCCAGACCTTGAACACTGAAGGAGAGGTGGACTTGGGGGATGGGGGGTGGGGAACGCGCGTGGTCACCCGGCTGATGAGTATCTAAGGCGGGATCAGAGCCCAGGTCTTGTTGATTACAAGTCTAGCGCCCTGTTGTGCACAGTGGCGGGTTGCTTATGGTCATGTGTGTGGTCACCTTCATTTGGAGGTGTGATGTGAGGGTGTTTGATCATTCTGTTCAGTGGGGAAGGTGGACAGACCTTTGGCCACTGGGTTTCAGAAATTGTGTGAAGATTTCTCTCTTGAGAGACCCACGGTGTGGGGGAAGAAACGTTGCCTCCTGTCATCGCCCAAGACTGCGTGGAACCAGATCAGAGTTGGGGGTGTAATGTGAGGTGGTCTGAGAGCTGTGAGACACCAGCTAATGGCCCGGTGCATGGCTTTGGCCCCTCCGTTGCCATGGCTACTCCTTCCCTCTGCCATGGAAATGCTGAATTCACCACCTCCCCGCCGGCCTCCCTGTGATGAGCTGGGAAAGCCGAGGCCGGCACAGAAATCTTTGTGCCTCTTGGTGCAGATCCACCTGAGCAAGCTGGAGCGCCAGTGGGGCAGCCGTGGAGTTGGGCCGCGGTGGGGGGAGGCGACCAGACGTGGTGGAGGGAGGGCTTTTGTTCCTCTTCAGCTGAGACCCACCTGGCCACATTCTGGAGAGAGCACATCTGGAAGGCTTCAGAACGGTGCCAGCTTAAGGGCGGTTGTCAAAGGCCAGATGAGGCTCTGGGTGCCGAATGAGCCTGAGGGACTGGTGGTGTCACCTTAAAAGCCAGCGTCCAGAGAAGAAAGCAGTTAAACCACACCAGAGATCGTGTATGATTTGTGATCAGATGGCCAAGAAACAAAACTTCCTGCTTGTTGAGTGCTGGGGGGATTTTTTTAAACGACTAATTTCACATCAAAGGCACAGTTTCTGAGGTGAGGCACAAACCATGGTTGGGGTGAAAGTGTGGGGCGGAACTCCGCTCCAGGTTCTCAGCCAGCCTTTCTCCTTCTTGGCCAAAGCCCCCCACCCCCAGCAACCGTAACTGGAAAGCAGGCTTCCCGGAGGGCTGCAGCCCTCTCGCGGTGGAGAAGGCAGCTCCCCGGGGGAGGTGGGGGGGTGCGGCCTCGTACGCAGCCCCTTCTAACCTGCCTGCTGGGGGCAGTCTGCGGGACCAGTGCAAGTCATCGGTTAACATAGAGGAATGTAGACGCATATGCCTGTGTCTGCAAAGATGTCTACATCTGCGTGTGTGGGTTCGAGTGTGTATGCTGCAAGTGAGAATGAGAGAGAGGAGCCAGGAATAAATGTGCGTTATAAAGGCTTGGCCCACACAGATCCTTCTGGTTTTCTCCAGTGTATCCCACTCTGTATAAGGCTGGGATTTCTATTTTGATTTGATTTTTCCATGACAACAATTTAGTGAATGTTTAATTTTTATTGCTACCTTTTGCTTTTACCTCATTTCTCTCTCCCCCTTCACTGCCCCATGGGCCATCCCTCATCACAAAGAATAAAAAGAAAGAGGAAGAAGGTAGTGTAGCAAACCCAGCCCGTGTCCGGCCTGAGTGCGCGCAATGTGCCGTCCCCATCGGCTCCAGCCTCCCAGCCGCTATCATCTCCACTAAAGAAGGTGGTGACCTGCTCCTGCGTTTTGTGATCATGGCTTCTCCTTCCTCTGGCATGTTTGTACATGTTGTCCTCCTCACCCTTCTTCCCTCTCCGTCCGTCTCAGTCTGCCCAGGCTTCGGAAGTCTCCACGGGGCACATGGCTTGTTTGGCTGCCCAGCCTCGGGCAGCAGGCGTCTGCCTGGGTTTGATGAGTGACCTAACGTTGCTTCCATGGCGAGAGCCCCTGGGAGGTCTGACTGTGTGCGGAACCTCCTTTTTGTGTTCGCCCTTCTTGGGTTCTGTGCCTGGCAGTGAGAGGGGTAAACATGAGAGTTACTTTTCAGGCCTGATTCCAGATTGCTTTGTGGTGGTCATGGCTTCACTCTGATATCACTTGAAGGCAACAGGCATGTTGGTGAGAGGGGCAGCTTATAATCTGGCCACTGAGAGATGTTGGTGAGCTCAAATCCGACCTCGACGCTTCCTAGCTGTGTGACCCTGGGCAAGTCACTTCTCTGTCTGCCTTGGTTTCCTCATCTGTAAAATGGAGATCATCATAGGTAGTGCCTCCCTCCCAGGGCTGTTGCGAGGATCAGTATTTGTAAAGCGTTTAGCTCAGTGTCTGGTACATAGACACGGTTTGGGGGGACAAAGGCAGTCCTGTCTGCCACATGCTGACCACGTGACCCTGGCCAAGTCACACCCTTTTGATGCTGCAGACAGCTCTCTGTTGGGAATGGAGTTTCCTCACTGGGAAGTCCCTACCCTGATGAAGGGCGTTCTAGTTCAGAGGCGGGGCTGTCCAATGGAAGGAGCCCTGGACCTCAGTGGAAGGAGACTGAGGTTTGATTCCCGGTCTGGACGCTGACTGTCTTGCTGAGTCTGACTGAGTCAGGGGTCCCCTGGAGCCTTTTCTTGTGGATTGGTGGATTGCTTGGTTACTGATAAGAATTGAATTCTCCTAAGAGGGTGTTGATGGCAATACGGTGAAGTGGATAGAACCCCAGCCCTGCCATCCCCTGCTTGTGGGCACACGTCCCACATCTGGCTCTTCCCACCTGGCATTTTCCTCCTTGAGTCACAGAATTATGGAACCCAAAGGCTCCAGAGGGCCTGCCCCAGGACCAGGACAGCTCAGAGGAGAGAAGGAGGCACAGTGAAAGACTGCAGAGGTGTCAGATGCTTAAAAAACAAAAACGAAAACAAAAAAGTGAGGTCCCCCTTGGGGCCTCCTTAGGGGGCCCGGGCCTGGAGCTGGCCAGCAGTGCTTGGGTCCTGACCGTCCACTGATGTCTGCGTTCTCCCATCTGTGAACTTTCTGACCAGGCCATCTCCTCCTCCTTGGCCCAAGTTCATGAAGATGCTCAGCAGCCTGAGTTCCAGGCCAGATGCCCGGGCCGCACCGCTGAAGACCAGTGGAGCTGCCTTTCCCTGGCTCCATCATCTGACGCACTTTTCTCCATCCCTTTTTTCCTTACAAGAATAGTATGAGATGCTCTGTTAAAAGTCCAGCCAAACTCTAGTTAGACTATATTGACAGCTCTCACTGGGTCCCTTATGTTAGTAACCCTGCCACCGATGGAGAACATGTCCTTGTCTAGGCACTTCAGCTTCCAGACCTCTGTTTTTGCATCTGTAAAGTGGGGGTAATCTTCACATCCACCTCCCAGGGTTGTTGGGAGGACCCAGAGAGATCACATAGTAGGCACTCTACAAATGCTTGTTTCCTTCTTGTTCCTTTCTCGCACATAGGTTCTGATGAAGACCCTGAAGGAAAGCAGGATAGTGAAAAGCCAGTCCTGTAGCTGCGAGAGTTATTTTGATGAAAGTAAGTGTTTGAAAACAAAGGGGAAAGTCCCGAAGTACACGTGTGGTCTGTCTGGGAGGGTGGACGGCCTTGGGGCGACCAGCGCAGCCTTGCTTAGATGCGTCCTTTAGTCAGTCAGCAAATCACCTTGTTATTCAGGGAGTGAAATAGCTTAGTGTTTGTCTGTGTGTGTGCTTGGAAAGCATGGTGGGTGGAAATCCACGGGAGCCTATGAGGTCCTGATCACACGAGGGGAGCTGAATTTGCAAACGTCATCGGCGGGTGTCCTGATGCTGTGGGTATCAACTGCTGGCATAGGATATCTCCATTTTTGCCCAGTCTTTTGGTGGCGACGCAGGTAGGGCAGTGGGGAAGTGAGCCGTGCTGATTGGAAGTCTGGCATCCTGAGGTCTGTGCCAGGCTTCCCTACCAAGCATAGGCCGTGGGTCAATCACTTTTGCCTCAAGCTCTCCACCTGTAAAGTGGGGCTGGTCTCTCTACCTTGTCTCTTTCCTGGTGCCATGATCATTAGATGGCGATGTGGGAATTTCCAAAATGGAAGACCAGGCATTGTTTCAAAGCCCCTGATAGGCCAGCGAGGCCAGGCCCTTTCAGAGCCCCCTAGAAGTCCACACAGGAGGAGGAGGCAGAGCCCGTTTTACTGGTTCCAACACTGCGCAATCATGTAACTCTGGGAGGAGAAGATGCTTTATGAAATCGGAATGACCACAGGCTTCATTCTTAACCAGCCCCTCCAATGCCCTCACCCTCCCATTGTGTTTTGTTTGATAAGTTCTGAGACCACGATGTATGCAATGACTGCCCACGTGTAACCTGTATTGGATGCTTACTGTCTCAGGGAGGGGGAAGGTGAGGAAGGGAAGGATAGAAGTTGGAACCCAAAATTAAGAGAAATATTAAAAATTGTTGTAACATGTAATTGGGGAAAGGTAAAATCTTACACAAAAAGTGTGGGAGATGACAGGAATGAAGAATGTTGAGCCCCTCTACTTCTTGTGACCTCCTCAGACTGTCCCATCTGTGAATCCTCTCTGTCCGTCCGCGTTTGGAGTGTGAAGGCCCCCAGCGTAGCCGGGCTCTCCCTGGGAAGCCAAGTCCACTTGCTAATCAAGGATTTATTTATTGTGATACCTCACGGAAGATTGTCCCCCACCCACACGTGTACCTTCGCCTGCCTGGGGCTGGTGAGATAACGGCCCAGAACAGCCCATGCTGTCGTCTGCTACTGAAACTGTCTCCTAATGCGTAGGGAGTTCTGGGAAAGTCTCGTGCTGTGTTCCTAATCAATAGACGCCATAGTATACCAACCTAACACATCTTCTGTAACACAAAACTCCATGGATTTTTTTTCTGACTCACAAAATGGAATTGTTTTATTTGTCTCATAGATTTGTTTTATATTTCTTTTTTAAAAAATAACATGTCCTTGTGTGTTTTTTAATTCATGCACATGAGCTCTTTGTACAGTTTAAAAACATTAATAAAAGGCAACATCCCAACCTCTGGCTCTGACCTTTTCCTTCTGTGGGTCCGTGAACTGGGCAGAGCTCACTCGGCGTTGCCATAGCTGCCTTTTCATCCAGGCCGTCTCCTGTCCGAGGAGGGTAGAGATACTGACTGGAGCACTGATTTCACTGGAGAAGAGAGCTCCCAGGTGAGCAGAGTTGGTCTGCCGATGCTGGTCGTCATTTTCTCTGCCACTTGTAGTCTCAGGTCTGAGAGGTTCAGTGACTTGTTCAGGGTCCTATGACCAGGATATGTCAGAGGCAGGACCTGAACTCAGGTCTTCCTGTTTCCCAAACCAGCTCCCACTCTGCCTCTCCTTGGCTATATCCCTGCCCAGACCCTCCCTGGAGAATTTCCCTGCATAATGCTCTGCAGGCCTTCCTCTGGCCCTTTCTATATTGGGGGGGGTGGGGGTCCCGCTGGAACCATTTCTGTCTCTTCTCTGTTTCTTCTTTGTCCACCCCATTGCCCTTTCCAGAGGCAAGGCCTTCCTGGTCCTGTTTATTTACATTTCTAAGTCTAAAGTCTCAAACTCATTTACATTTGTTTGAAAGGTCACTGGTCTTGTTCCTTTTCTAGGCCAACATAAAAAGACAGTTCCAAAGGGAATTCAGGTTCATCAACACTGGTGGTCAGCTACGGTCAGAGAATGTTTTCAGTGTCCTGATTCTGTTAATGCCCCAGTAACTAGCCACATCCTGTCTGAGTGCTGATGTCAGCTAGGAATACACTGCAGGGAGGGTATCAACCTTAGGTAGATTCAGCCTGCATGTGTTAGCATGGCCTGGGGTGTGTGTGTGAGTGTGTGTGTGTATGTATGTGTAATGAGTGTGTGAGTCTATATATTTGTATATGTGAGTGTGTGTGATGAATGTGAGTCTGTGTGTATATATATTTGTGTGTGTGTGTGATGAGTGTGTGAGTATGTATATATGTGTGTGTGTCTGTGTATGTGTATATTGGTACATGCGTGATGAGTGAGTGTGTGTGTATATATGAATGTGTGTATGTACGTGTGATGAGTGTGAGTGTATGTGTATATATTTGTGAGTGTGTGTCTATGTATATGTATATATTTTTGCATGTGATGAGTGTGTGAGTCTATATATTTGTGAGTGTGTGTGATGAGTGAGTGTGAGTCTGTGTATATGTGAGTGTATGTATGTGATGAATGTGAATCTATACATGTGGGTATGTGTGTGTGTGATGAGTGTGAGTCTGTATATATTTGTGAGTGTGTGTGTCTATGTATGTGTGTATATTGGCATATGTGTGATGAGTGAGTCTGTGTGTGTATATATATGAATGTGTATGTACATGTGATGAGTATGTGTATATATTTGTGAGTGTGTGTGATGAGTGTCTATGTATATGTATATATTTTTGTGTGTGATGAGTGTGTGAGTCTATATATTTGTGTGTGTGATGAGTGAGTGTGAGTCTATATGTGAGTGTATGTATGTGATGAATGTGAGTCTATACATGTGTGTATGTGTGTGTGATGAGTGTGAGTCTGTATATATTTGTA